CTATTAATAATTATCTCAGGACTACAAGTATAAAACAGAGTTTTCCTGTGTGGTCAGTAAACTTGGTAATTTCTTTATTCTTATTAACTTTTTAAAGAACAAATTGTAATCTTTGTAATCATTTCTACTTTTAAAAAATCTTTACAAATTCTTTTTTGCCTGGCTAACATGGCAAAACCCTGTCTCTGCTAAAAATACAAAAAATAGCCCCGTGTAAGGAGATAATTCTACATTAGAAAAATTTATTAATGTGATTTCCCATACTAAGAAACTAAAGAAAAAAATAGAACATTTCAACAGAGAAAGCATTCAATAAAGTTCTATATTTATTTACAGTTTAAATTGGCAGAAAACTAGGAACAGAAGGAAATTTCCATAATATGATAAAAAGATATTTACTGTTTACCTGGAAAATCTTGAAAAACGTTTACTTTAAGATTAGGGATAATTCAAGAATACTGACTATCATAATGTTCTGCCTCACACTGGAGGCTCAGGGCAATGTAGTAACACAGAATAGAACACTAAGAAATACAAGGATTGGATTTGAGGAAATAAAATTGTCATTTGCAAGTGTTATGATTGCTATGACCATTTACATAGAAAATTAGAGTATATCAACAAACTCTTAGAAGTAATAAGCTTGTGGATTGCAAGATCAATATACAAAAATCAGTAGTATTTTTCAATACTAGAAATAATAAAGAAGATAATAGTAAAGGAGATACTGTCTAAAACAAGCACAAAAAAACCCTGTAAAATATGAAGGACTTAATAGACAAAAACTCACAAGACCAACACAGAAGAACATTTTGAAACTCTACCAAAGGGCATAAAGAAACCTGAATTAATAATCAGAAAAATCATCTTCATGAATGAGACAGCAGTATTTAAGATAACCATTTTCCTCCAATTTGGGGTAATTCCAAGCAAAATTATAGCCACCTTTAGGGAGAATCTGCCTCCTCATATTTTGAACGAACCCCCATTGATTAAGTCTTGATAGAGGGCAGGGCCCTGCCTCTCTTTGTGGTGGTGGGAAAAGAACCAGAACCTTCTTTCTCTCTGGAGACTAGGATATGAGTATGTGATCCTAACTTGGACATAACATTCTCCTTTCCAGAACATTGAAGCTTGTGTGAGTGGTAGGGTGATGCGGGGACAGTTTGGAAGAACTTTCTCTGTGGCAGCCTCCTGGTGGTGTCCTAACCAGGCTCTCTGCTGTAGTGTAACTTTCCCTGTTGCCAGGCCGCCCTTGGTTCCTGCCCATTTTCTGAGCCTGTTTCTCTAACTTTCTTTCTGATTTTGTAAGCTCTCTATTTTCCAATAAAGTTTGTTTCTGTATTAATTTAGAATCAGTATCTGTTTCTTACAATCAATAACTTGGAACTGGGAAGTTTACAAAATGATTCTGAAATTCATGTAAAAGTATACATGTCCCTGAGTAATTAAGACCATGGATTGGTCAACTTTTTCTATACAAGACCATATAGTAAACATTAGTCTTTGGTGGCTGGATGCAACTACCCAATTTGGTTGTTGAGAAGCAAATGAGAGTAGTTGTGTTTTAATAAAACTTTACTTATTAAAATAGTGAGTGAATAGGGTTAGGCCCATGAACTATAATTCCCTGACTCTGGCCTAAGACAATCACTGA